TAAGTTTAATTTATAGTTAAAATGTACAGATGCAAACAAATTTTCATAGGTAGTGTGCTGACACCAATTACTAAAAGTGTTATAATATTGTTTTGTTTGTTTGATATCCAGCAGTGTTATTCTTTTTATTATTATTTGTAGTCTTTCAATTCTTGCAGTATAGAAAATTATATGTTCACCATCAATATGTTGTAGTGTTTATGAGTATGCAGTAAATTGTATACCATAACATACTGTGTACAAAGTTGTTGTTGAAATTCTTTATTAATGAGGTATTGCAACGTTGAATGTATTGCTCAGCGTAAATGTATTTTATATATGATATGACCTATATAAGCTAATGTAAAATATTTTTAATGTGTGTATTTAACCATAAAGTAATTGATTGCATAGTGAACATGTTTTATTTAAAGGGGGCTGTGTTGGGGACAACGAGCCGCTTACGCGGCTTCTAATAGGGGGTGGGGAAATCGCAGGGGCTGTTTCTAACCCTAACCTTAAAAATAAACTCACATAATTATATAGAATAAAATGAACTTAACCCTAACCTTATCGGCGCAAACGCCTAAGATACTTAACCCTAACTTCTAACGTCGCAAATACCTGAATGTAATAATACCTTTATTCGTGATCACCCCTAATAGCGGGTGAACTCACAGGGGATGTGTAACGCCTATCGTCATGATCACATGGGGGCTGTGTTGGGGACAACGAGCCACTTACGCGGCTCCTAATAGGAGGGTGAACTCACAGGGGATGTTTCACTCCTATCGTCATGATGACATGGGGGCTGTGTTGGGAACAACGAGCCGCTTACGCGGCTCCTACTAGGGATGAACTCACAGGGTGATGTTTAACGCCTATCGTTTACGCGGCTCCTAATAGCAACATGTACATACACATTCCAGTCATTTCTTAGGATTTGACCTAAGGTGACCACTGTGACCTTTGACCTCAAGTTGTGAGCATCCCATGTTTGGTAGGAGTCTGTCTAATGCAATGTGTTCAATCGTTAGCTACTAGCAATATTTGATAATTTTCACCAAAATTACCCTTGTGACTTTTGACCTATAGGTGAAGAGTATTTTTTTCATGTTTAGAAGGTACTAAGGATCATTCCTAGTAAATTTGAGCTCAATTGGGCTATTTTGAAAATTTGACTCCGATGACCCCTATGTAACCCCTGATCCCAGACTGGGGTGTAAGAGGTGTCACTGGTTCTTAATGATCAAATTTGATTGAATTCCGTTCAATCGTTTGCCGTTAGTAACATTTTGAACCTTTGACCTATGAACTTTGACTTATAAGGTGAAGAGTATTTTTTCGTGTTTAGAAGGTCCTAAACATAATTTCTGGTAAATTAGGCTATTTTGAGAATTTAACCTCGATGACCCCTATGTGACCCCTAATCCAGACTGGGGTGTAGGAGGTTTTGCTGCCACGTTATTTGTGGGAGAAGTAGTCTTTTATACGATTTATTGTTTTTTTACCCTAATGCCCCTTATGTGACCTTTGGCCACTCAACTCATAAATAGGAGGCGGCACCGGTCCTACTGGCCAAGTTTTAATTAAATCGGTCCAGTAGTTTGCCACTAGTAGCTTTTAAAATGTTGCCAGAAAGAAAGAAAGAAGAAACTGTTCAGAAACAGAACCCAGTCAGCAGCATGCTGACTGGGTAATGAAAAAACGGTACAATCATTGACTTGCGGAAACAAATTTATCAAAATATTACAAAATCAAACAGAAATTTCGATAGCTCCTGCTATCTTTATTAACGTTGATAAAGATAGCAGGAGTAATTTAACTGTTCCCTGCTATTAGTAGAATATCTCTATAATTAATCAAAATTTTAAACTAAGATATCTCTATTTATAATATCTCTATTTAAAACTAAGATATCTCTATTTATAACTTAGATACCTCTATTTACGATTAAATTATAACTTGGCTCGCAATAAATTACTAGACGGCTATACTCACCGGTTTCACAGTTGACTCCTTTAAATCCTGTTGGACAGACACATAGACCCGTTTTGTCATCACACACACCGCCATTGTAACACACGGGACAGTCATATTCACATGAAGGAGGGTTCCATTTTGGAGATGGACACGCTTTAATAATGGGACAAATTCATTAATGATTTTACATAAGTAGCATAAATATATCTTATTCTATATTTTACAAGACAACCTTTAAAATATAAGATACAACTCCTAGATGACAGGGCCTGTAAACTGTTAAAAGAAACATCCGACCTTTGTACTTTGCCAAAACGGTGAGATTGAAAGCTTCAGACATTATTTGGAAATCGTTTGACGTTATTAAGGAGTCGACATTATCAAATTTAAAAGAAGATCCTGGACTTTGTATAATGAGTTTGCAACATGGGAAAATATACTAAATCGAATATTAATGAAGAAATTCAACTTGTACTGGGGGAGAGAGAAACCACTGATCAAGTGATGATGTTTTATTCGTATTCGGTAAGTATTTCAAAAAATATGGAATTAGCATTGGATAAACGTTACCATTTACATTGTCTATCTTGTTTTTTTTTTTGTTTTGTTTTTAACTCAATCACATTGTTTAAATTTAAGTTGTATCACTTAATTGTGTGTTGCCACGTTTACAAAGCTGAAATGTTAATAAATTACAAGCATTCTTTGTTGAATATTAAAAACACATCTAATCATGCAGAGTGCCTTTGAATTACTCCGATCCGATATTGGCACCTTATAATACTTTATTATTATTATTATTATTATTATTATTATTATTATTATTATTATTATTATTATATATTTATATTTCATTATTATTATCATTATCATTATCACCATCATCATTATCACATTATCATTATTATAATTTTCTTTTCACAGCGCCTTTGATTTTTTTTTTCGGTTATTGTTTTCGGTTTATTTTCTGTTCTTTGTTCTGTACTTAAAAATCCTTTAGTTTAAGAGGGCGCACTTTCTTTATTGCTGCTCACGAGCGTATCAGCGACGTAAACAATTCAGTAAATCAGGTTAATGCTTTTATTTAATTAATTGTGGGATGAATTAAAATATCTTATCATGATAGTTAATGGGATTGATGGGCGAGATAAAAAATAGGGAAGAATGCGGCGGGTTCGCGAAACAGTTACCATGCCTACCTCCGACGCTCCACTGTATGAATTATATAATACACAAAAAAGCAGCTTGCGAGAGCATTCCAGTGGATGCGATCTACAACCTCTGAATTTGCCTAGTATCGAAGAAAAATTGTAATCTTTTATGAGAAATAGTCTCTGCTCCTAATTTATTTTCTCCTTTAGAGTAAAACTAAAATATATGCCAATACTTTTTCATGGTTTATGATAATTAGAATAATACATGTGCATTTTTTGTGGAAAAAAACCCATTTTTTTTTGTGAAATTCTGCCGGGAATTTCTTCAACTTAATCACTTGTTCAGTTGTAATTTTTATAATCAGCTTTAATCTTTCCTAGTTTGATATTAATATTGGCGCTTTATGATACTTATTATCATTATTTTTTTATTATTATTATTATTTTATTTCTATTATATATTTCTAATATCATCATTATAATAATAATAATAATAATAATAATAATAATAATTATTATTATTATTATTATTAATAATAAAAAAAGCAATCCAGCTGAAACATAATAGGAACACTTAAATGTAAAATAAATCCTGCATGATTTTTGTATCCAATAACTTTATATTTATTCCAATACCTCTAACAATAAGTCTCATTATTCCTTGGTTTTCAACATTCATACTTTCATCTGGAAAGCATTCATAAACTCCACCATCTTGCTCTCTTACATCTTCAATTTTGATTGAAGAACTTCCATTCCATTTTGAAATGATGTCACCGTAGTTGTGAGTCCATCGTAGATCCGTTAACGGTAGGCTTGTGGTCATATTTATTTCTGCTGTCTCTCCTATTCCAACTGTCAATGTTCTTTTCTCAAAATTAATTGTAGCTAATAAAGTAAAAGAAAACAAACGAGTATTTCTTACTTGTTGATCATTATTCTAATTATTATATTTTAATCAATACTTAATAATACACATTTCACGTTTTTTGCTATTATATTGACTTCGCAAATCATACAGTTGAAATTGTATAATTGTCACATTAGAACTTTATATTTTATCCTACCAGATCTGTATTGCTTTAATATTTACATAGTATGCTACTCCACTTGTGAATAACAAGCTCTTAGTCAATGACAAAGAGTTGTTGCATTGTTGCTAAATTTGCATAAGTGTAAATCCTTTGTCAGCCGGTCATAAAATAACTAGCGCGCGATTTCGAATCGCTCTCAAATTTACCACCATACGATTGAGTCAAACCACAGCCAATTCTGTGAGGTTTACGAGCCGAGCAATAATACTTAAGCTTATTATAGGGCTTAGTGTGCATTGGACGCACGATACTGTATAAATGCATCTAGGCCAGGTAGTCGAAATCCAGTTTGCCGAATGCCAAGACCACTTTGCCGAATCCCAGTTTGCTGAGTGCCAGTTTGCCGAATGCCAGTTTTCCGACTCAAAAACAATGAATCCCAGTTGGCCGAAACCCAGTTTGCCGAATCCAGTTGCCCAACCCAGTTTGCCGTTAAAAGCAGTGAAACATTGACAGCAGCAAAAAATTCACGATGGAATACTTACTCTTACCATGGACCTATTTAATAATAATAGGTCCATGTATATATATATATATATA